GTGAATGTATTGGGGATAATAAATGTAAATAAAAACTAATGATTTAAATGATTAAATGTAAGAAAAACTTTGTATTAACATAACGCCGGTATGCTATTATCTCGTACAGTTGAGGTGGAACTGGTTCGTGTGGGCACTATTAAGGTGGATGTGTCCCGCTGTACACTTGATTTCCTTAGGAAGAATAAGGTGTCATTAGTGGCCTATAAGATCACTAAAGACAGTTCCAGAAGAGAGGATGACATCAAAGCCTCAATCATCCGTTGGTTTAAAACTCCGACATCAGATTTAGTGAGGAAACGAATGAACACAACGACCATAATCTTTGATGGATTGGAACCCAAATTTAAATACAAATTAGGAATAGTATTAGAGAATGACGGTGGTGATATAGACTTCGATGACATTTATCTTGATAAAAATTTGACAAGTGGTTAGTATTACATGCTTAAGCACTCACTAAACACTTTGAATGTTATCATAATTGTATTTTCAATTTGTTTTAAAAATCGACTCAAAAGTATCCAATTTGGAAGTAATAATCATAATAGCGTTGGCAATACTTCTATTCATAACGTTGATACTTCTTGGGTCTTTTGTTGTATGTTGTTGTATATGCTTATATGTATGTCATAGTTATTATTAATTTGATTATAAGTTTAAGGTATGATTGAAATAATTTCAAAACTCATAGAAACTATTCGGGAGAAAATCGTTTACAGAACGTATTCCTATTGTGGAGTAAAAGCGATAGTGGAAGACAATAACAATAACTTGATAAAAATCTGACAAGTGGTGGTTCGGAGCTGGTAATGACCACTTCCTCGACAGTCAACTCTTCGTTTAACTGTTTTTAAGACTTTTTATAGCTATTTTTGTATCGCTTTTATGACTCTTTTATAATATTTGAAACTCTATAATCACTCTTACAATCAGTCGATAGTTATCTAATATTTAGTAAATTCTGTGAATCAAACGGGAACTGGCAAATTGACCTAAAAACCAATTGACGTAAACTTAATGACCAATAGACTTGTGACCATTGTAAGGATAGGTAAGGTTAGATTAGGTCAAGGGGAACATTTTACACTGGTCATCTGGTATATTATCTGACAAGTGGTGGTTCGGAGCTGGTAATGACCACTTCCTCGACAGTCAACTCTTCGTTTAACTGTTTTTAAGACTTTTTATAGCTATTTTTGTATCGCTTTTATGACTCTTTTATAATATTTGAAACTCTATAATCACTCTTACAATCAGTCGATAGTTATCTAATATTTAGTAAATTCTGTGAATCAAACGGGAACTGGCAAATTGACCTAAAAACCAATTGACGTAAACTTAATGACCAATAGACTTGTGACCATTGTAAGGATAGGTAAGGTTAGATTAGGTCAAGGGGAACATTTTACACTGGTCATCTGGTATATTTACCTACTGGTCATTAAGTTATTTAAGTTTAGGTCAATTGGTTTTTAGGTCAATAGAGCCGCACCCGAATCAAACAGAGTATTGAAGTGCACTCTAGTCTTATGCGTACTTTTTAATTATCTTTAAATTATTATTATTTAGTTTGTTAATATTGAAGAGTAAAGCCTTTAATAGTGAATAGATTCTCAAACCTCATACTCAAACCCATAGCAACACATAGTTTTTTAGTCACTTTAAACAGTTCTATAGTTGAAGTCATATAACTCTCATTCACTCTTAGCCTACAAAATAGTTATCATTAATAGTTGACTTCATATCCAATCAATAGATTTAGTTTTAAGAGTTGTAATACTACTTGCGGTCAGATCTCATATATAAACCCAATCCATGCTTTCACTCTTCAGTTTCATTACCACTTCTCATGCTTTAAGTGATATTTGATTGTATTTTGTATGGAGTGAAGGCCTGAGTGCCGGATCTCTCTTATGTTTTATGCTTTTAATTGTATTCTCGGATAAAGTTTTAAAATGTTAAACGAATTAATGAATAAAAACTCTTTTGATTAATAAATAAATTGTGTTTTAATTGACTCTTAAGACGTGAATTGTATGATAATAGTGTCGCCAAAGCGCTCGCATTGCCAAGTGCTTGGCGTTTCACTACATTCCCAAAGCATAGACCGCATAAACCACGCGTTGAGTGCCATTCCTCGCGAGTCTCACTCAACACCCATCGACTAAACGCGTGATACAGACATCGCGTGATACAGACTCCTGACCACTAATATCGGGTTCCACTGTACCAGTGGTTAGTATTACATGCTTAAGCACTCACTCAACACTTTTAATGTTATCATAATTGTATTTTCAATTTGTTTGAAAAGTCCACACAAAAGATATAGCGATCGAGAAGTGATTTAAATTACGCCTAAAATAACGGCTATTTTTGAGCTAAATGCGAGCAAATGATAAAAACTTTTTATTAAAAAAATTATACGATTGAATGTATTATTCAGTTAACCGTCTTTTGGAAAGAAATTCATTTTGAATTTGTGTGAAAAGTGCAGATTTTAACAATTATTTGATTTCGAAGTTTTATCTTCTGATTTGTTATAATATACATGTTTTACGTAAACTTGTTTACGAAGATTTTAAAATAGATTTATTTGTATTCATTAATAATAATGAGATGTTTTACAAATGAATTTCAATGCATTCTATTTGACACCAATTAAAAATTATTGAACCCATAAACCCTCTCACAAACCCCTTTAAAAATGAATAGACTTATGATTGTGTGTTAAAATAAGGCAATATTAGCCAACTCTGTCAATTGATTGCCAGTGAGTGTGTCGGTCAATGCTATGAGTTTCTCCCACTCCTGTAATCCGTAATATCTGGCGATCGTTTGAAATGTGAACAAAATTGCATTCATTATACAGTCGTTCACTGTTTGCCACACTTTATGCAAGAATTTGCGGTCCTTTTCGATGATAAACTCAACCACTCGTTGGCCAATCATCAGAGTCGTGGCGTACGGACTGCCCGACACTTGGGTCGGCATAACCGAGGCGTCGGCCACTCGCAGACCTTTCAGACCAATCACACGTAACTCCGGGTCCACTACTGATGTGGGTTGTGAGGGGTCGCCCATACGACAGGTGCCTACCGGCGCGTTGGCTGTTATAGTCAAATACCTGGCTAAGCACTCGTTGTATTTGTTATCTCAAAGGTCTGCGAGTGGCCGACGCCTCGGTTATGCCGACCCAAGTGTCGGGCAGTCCGTACGCCACGACTCTCATGATTGGCCAACGAGTGGTCGAGTTTATCATTGAAAAGGACCGCAAATTCTTGCATAAAGTGTGGCAAACAGTGAGCGTCTGTATAATGAATGCAATTTTGTTCACATTTCAAACGATCGCCAGATATTACGGATTACAGGAGTGGGAGAAACTCATAGCATTGACCGACACACTCACTGGCAATCAATTAACAGAGTTCGCCAATATTGCCTTATTTTAACACATAATCATAAGTCTATTCATTTTTAAAGGGGTTTGTCATAGGCTTTTATGGGTTCAATAATTTTTTATCAATTGGTGTCAAACAGAATTCATTTGTAAAACATCTCATTATTATTAATGAATACAAATAAATCTATTTTAAAATCTTCGTAAACAAGTTTACGTAAGACATGTATATCATATACAGTGTATATGTCTAACAAATCAGAAGGTAAAACTTCGAAATCAAATAATTGTTAAAATCTATACTTTTCACACAAATGTAATTCAATTCAAAATGAATTTCTTTTCAAAAGACGGTTAACTTAACAATACCATTCACTCGGATAATTTTTTTATAAAAAGTTTTTATCATTTATCGGGCAATTAGTGATGTGATTAGGGGTCAAAGTCTCGCATTTATACAAAAATAGCCGTTATTTTAGGTGTAATTTAAATCATTTCTCAATCGCTATATCTTGTGGTCAATAGTATTGATTTGAATACAGTTTTCAATGGACGACAAGAGATGTCGAATATGTCTGAAAGGCAATGATCTCATAATTGGCTGCAACTGTCAGCAAGAGTTGGCTTTCGTTCACCGAAAGTGTCTCCAGGAATGGATCCAATCGACAGCCAATCAGTTCTGCTATATCTGTGACTATAAATACAAATTACAGACAAAACACAAGTCACTCATCCATTGGTTGTTAGAAAGGTCACCACAATTTGAGACATTAATAGAGATTGTCGTGAAGACAATAAACATAGCGCACTGTTACCTCTTGGGACGGGTGGTCAGTAGGTTCGTTAATGTGAACCCATTTTGGTTATGGACACTGTTTGTCATTGTATTCTTGAGGTGTCTTAACATCACTTATGTCTGGATTTTGTTCAGCCATAGTCTCGTCAACGACTATAGCGTTTGGAGTAAAAGCCATTTCATCGTCAAAGTGATGCCTAAAGACACCACAACTCATACCAACCACTGATCGTATCAATCAATAAATCACTTTCAAATTCTCTTAACTTTACACTGAATAGTAGTTAATTATTAAAAAAGTGAATAAAACCAAAGTTTTACACAATTTTATACATCGTTTTGATTTAATAAAGTTTCACTTTTTAGGCTAATATTTATTGCAATAGTAATAGACTTGAAAAGGCTTTAAATTATTATCGAAATAAGGGGTAAAAATTAAAATTTGATGACAAATACAGAGTTGAGACTAATTCATAGGGAAATAGTAAATGAATGCATAATTAATTTAAATTATATATTATATATAACTTTCTTGGAGTTGATTTAAGTTTTAAGATTTAAATCCAATGATTTACAGAAATATTTAACTTTTTGCAATAATTTGATCAGACACACATTTTATATTCATTATTACTGTAATAAATATATGTTTTATTCAATTATTAATTTCATAACAAAAATATGTTATAAGACTAGTATATTAATGACACGATTATTATGAGTTACATTTCATATTAAATATGACACAAAAGGCTGACATGGGGTCAGGTGTGGACCGGCATTCAGTTATTATTGATTCCTTTCTTAGATATCGTGAACTCCTGTCTCATAATCAACTCATTCGTGAGGTACGAGTGCTGTCTCTTTTGTTGTCTCAGCTCTTTGGGCACATCCGGTATTAGGACTCTCATCAGTGAAGTACACAATACGATCACATTCTCGAAGAGCACCACAAACGCCAGTCGGGCCACCATTAGGTGCCAGAAGTACTGGTCCTCTTCGGCTGACTCTATCGAAGGGACAGGCGGTTGACCGTAACTATTGGACGTATAGCTAATAATTTTACAAAAAAATAGTTTAATTAAATATTTTACTCAACTATAGGAATATTCCTAAAATAATTAATTAATTACACAAAAACTTTATAACCTTTACCGTACTAATTTCCATGTAATTTAATACTACCGGTAATAATAATTATAAATTTGTTTAGAAATTGATGTAAAAGTCTAGAAAAGTATTGTCAAATTAAGACATTTATTGGTAACTTACACACAAAAAGTAGTGTTAATATCGGAATCATTGACAAGCCTCTTGAATAGAGTTGAATCAAGGTACTTATTCAAACTTCCGTATTCGATGTAATGCAAAATTCTTGGCACAAAACTCGTGGTGAACGCTATAATCATTGCGTTCGTGATTACAGACAACTTTCCCATCGCATCCAGTATTCTATACCAAATGCCTATACTTTTAACCCTGGTATACAAGTTTTAAAATTTTTTTAATTAATTTAAGATCTATGAAAATCATTATCAACTATTTAGCCAAACCTTTGAGCGACGGGTCGTTTAAAACTCGTGATAATCTTTTTGGCATCAAATCTGATCTCAAAGAAGTTGTTGATGAGCGCAAAGAGTGGCGCCAATGGAAAGGCGGCCACAAATAGTGTGACAAAACCAAACTGGAGGACCAGTTCCAGGTATTCGTAGAACAGAGAGGTTGGACTCCATGATGAGAGCAGGAAGTCGTCCTCCCATTGCGGCAAATTGATAGGACCCTCACACTTGTCGTCCAAATTCTGGGTGTATTTCCACTTATTGTAGAAACGGGTGAATACGGGAGTAGCGATCTCCATGACGGCCCCAAACGCCTGCTTTCCTACCATTATTATAGCCAACTGTATGGCTAAGTCCACGAAACAACCGCCTAATCACACAAAACACAGAATTATTATACAAATATAGCAATTCAATGGGACAGGTATGCAAACCACACACTCACCCATTGGGCATTCCTCGACAAAATATTTGGACACATCACCCGTACGGGTGACAAACCTTCCCTTAGCGAAGGCTATGTAGAATATGGACGAGTAGTAGTTAACAAATTGGAACAGGAACATTTTTAGAGTAAGCGAGTTGTCGAACTCGAACGCAGTGCGGGGCAGTTCCCGTTCGGTCAGGTAGATGGCTAGTCGTGTGTACATCTTATCGAACACTAATATACACAGCAAGTTGATGAGGGCGGCAGTGAGCGAGGTGATCATAGAGCCGTAACTTTGCAAGAACTTTGAGTTGTTATCCCACGAGCCGAGCACTATCCGCAACGACACCCTGTAGGCGATCACTGATAGCATAATACCGATGACCAGAGATATGCACAACAGCACCAACGATGACGAGATGATTATTTGAGGTAACTTTCCCTTAAAGAACGGTACGTACGGCTCCTCCATGCGGGTCACGACATTCAGTTTGCGTTTAGACTTCTGGTTCGCCGCTAAACGGGCCTTCGGATCAACCATAGGTTAGGTTTAGGAAATGGTTAGCAATTGTATTCACTATATCTATAGTAAACTCTAT